GGATTGGGGTCACCTGTAGTAATGGGAACATTACCGTCCTCAATTTTCAGAAAATGGGTCTTACTGGAATGATTTCGCCTGAAATTGCATCACTGAAGTCCCTGCAAAGGGTAATTCTTGCTGATAACAATTTAACTGGAACTATTCCTGAGGAGCTTGCCACGCTGCCTGCACTTACTATTTTAGATGTGTCAAATAATAAGCTCTATGGGAAAGTTCCAGACTTTAAGGTTAATGTGCTTGTAAACAAGAATGGTAACCCTGATATAGGGAAGGACAAGAGTACTTCATCGGGAGCTGCACCTTCTCAAAATTCAACTAACCCTTCTCCAAGTATAGGTTCCGGAAATAATGGCAGTTCTGGATCTCACAGAAAGAAATCTTCAACTCTAATAGGAGTTATTGTGTTCTCCGTGATCGGGGGTGTTTTTGTGATTTTCTTAATTGCACTGTTGCTTATCTGTATATATAGAACAAAACAAAAGCAGTTGAGCAGAGTTCAGAGCCCGAATGCAATGGTAATTCATCCCCGCCATTCCGGGTCTGATAATGAAAGCATGAAGATCACAGTTGCTGGCTCCAGTGTTAGTGTTGGTGCAATAAGTGAAACTCATACTCTTCCTAGTAGTGAGCCCAGTGAAATCCAAATGGTTGAAGCAGGAAACATGGTGATTTCTATTCAAGTGCTCCGGAATGTGACCAACAATTTCAGTCAAGAAAATATATTGGGACAAGGAGGTTTTGGGACAGTGTATAAAGGGGAACTGCATGATGGAACAAAGATTGCAGTTAAGAGAATGGAGTCTGGGGTAATAGCTGGTAAGGGGCTTACCGAATTTAAGTCTGAAATTTCGGTTTTGACAAAGGTTCGTCACAGGCATCTAGTTGCTCTTCTGGGATATTGTTTGGATGGCAATGAAAGGCTTCTTGTATATGAATATATGCCTCAAGGGATGCTCAGTAGGTACCTCTTCAACTGGCCGGAAGAAGGACTGAAGCCACTTGAATGGACAAAAAGGCTGACCATTGCCTTAGATGTAGCAAGGGGAGTTGAGTATCTCCATGGTTTGGCACATCAGAGCTTTATACATAGGGACTTAAAGCCTTCAAATATTCTTCTCGGAGATGATATGAGGGCAAAGGTTGCAGATTTTGGTCTCGTACGGCTTGCTCCAGAGGGTAAATTTTCAATTGAAACAAGAATTGCAGGGACTTTTGGATACTTGGCACCAGAATATGCAGGTAAGTTTTGTTTCTGTTTACTTTTTAATTAATTTTTTAATTTTATGTACTTAAAGAAACTGATAGAAGATAAAATGCGAGAGCGATACCAGATCAGTTTGAGTACCTGATACTTAAAAGTTCATGGAAAATATTTGCATAACATGGCACCACCAGAATTTAACCTTAGGTCTTTGCGTCCATTTCCTAAGATTGTGTTAGTACTCAAGCAAACCAGTTTAAGGGGCAAAAAAAAAAAAAAAAAAAAAAAAAAAAACAAACTTTTTTTCTATCAACTTGTGTAACCCATCACACTCGTAGATGTAAGATGGTAATGAGTCTGTTTCCCGCCATGTTATGATATATGGAGCCATCATTGGGATAAGAAAGCAAACTAGAAACGTGAAGTAATGATTTCCTTAAGGGGTTTGTGGGTTAGGTACAGGGACAAGAAAGTGACCATATGATAGATTAGTATAATCCACGCTTCACCAAATTGCATGTTCAGTAATAATCTAAAGTGCGTCATTCTATTATCTGCCAGCTGTGGTTTTGGCCTTTTTGGGGGCATCAGTGCGAGCTAGGTTTTCTGAGCTCACTTGAAAACCTGAAGATTAAGCTATTTTTGTTTACTCATTATAATAACACAACGGTAGGATATTTGGCTTCTATTGGATTGTTTTCATTGAAAGCTTCCCTTGTAGTAGTTGTTGCCAGTTGGTTTTGGCCTCATGAACAATAGATTCTCTTAACCCCCTTTAGCCTTTTTGTTCTTCTGTTTTTCTCTTTTTTGAGTCAGCTGAGCCCCACTTCAGTAGATTGACAACAAAGCTAATTATTGTCTTTTGCTTGCACTTTTTCTTGTGGTCCTGCAATTTATAATGTTGTATAATTCATTTTATTTTTCAGAAAAAGTTAAATTCTATTTATCTTTTGGTTAATGCTTGCTAACTAATATTGATTTTAATCTTTAACGAAACATTTGTAACACATGCAGTTACGGGCCGTGTGACAACTAAAGTAGATGTGTTCAGTTTTGGGGTGATTTTGATGGAGCTAATCACCGGGCGAAAAGCACTTGACGAGAGCCAGCCAGAGGAGAGCATGCACCTTGTAACATGGTTCCGGAGAATGTTCATCAACAAGGACACGTTCCGCAAGGCCATTGATCCAACAATTGATCTCAGTGAGGAAACACTTGCCAGTGTCAGCACTGTTGCTGAGTTAGCAGGCCACTGCTGTGCAAGAGAACCGTATCAAAGGCCTGACATGGGCCATACTGTCAATGTTCTATCTTCTCTAGTGGAGCTTTGGAAACCAAGTGATCAGAGTTCTGAAGACATATATGGTATAGACCTCGAAATGTCATTGCCACAAGCACTTAAGAAGTGGCAGGCTTATGAAGGCAGAAGCAATATGGAATCCTCTTCTTCATCGCTTCTTCCCAGCTTGGAAGTCTTTCACATCTGCGGATGGGAGATAAGACTTAGATGTAAATTATTGTAATCGTGGTTTGGTATGTTTATTCTTGTTGCGTCTTAACTTGCTGTTTCTGTGTACAATTTGTTCAAACTTTCACGTTTTAGCCTTACCCCCACTCTGATGTTCTGGAATGTTATGACTTGTTTTAGAGGTTTTGAATGAAATGGGAAGTGGTTCTCGACTCTGAAGAAATAATATTTCATTTTAATAGAAACTCTCATATTCAACCATGTCATATGCTTTCATTAAGTAAACTGAGTAACTAAGACCAAAAATAAAAAACCTGGTTAATGCTAATGATCTGATCATCTGAGACAGCAGCGCCCTAATTATGGTGGCAATGTAGCAAAAAAAAAATTAAAAAATATATATATATACTTCAGAGCCAATGATAGGCTAAGCTTAATAAAAATAATAATAAAATAAAAGTTTATTTCTTTACAAAGGGGTGACAATTTTCGATACGACCCGTTATACGACTCGAAATCCGCAGGGAAAAACCGTGACCCTCAAATTCGGCAAAAATTACGAATGACTGCTAAATGGCTCCCACAAACCCCAAGCGGCCCCCACAAAATCACAACTCAGAAAAATAAAAAAAACCTAGCTATGCCAATTTTCTTCCTTCTCATTTCTCTTGATCTTAACATCCTCAAACTCAGAAATAAAATGGCATCTTCATTCCCGTTTTCTCTCAATATAAACTTAGCTCCGCCAACACATACATGAGGCCAAAGGGCTGCACAAGTATGGATACCCTACTTTGCTTCCTCACGAGGACCAGTTACAGTAAATGACTCATTACTCTTTGATAACAATGTTGCTATTGGAGTTGCAAGGAGTTTGGTGACTCCCAAGGATGTGCATGTGCTGGGAACAAGGGATGATAACCATGTGGTGCGTGATGAAGATTGTCAATTCCCATGAGTTAGAGGGCAAAGACGTTGGAGGAGACACGACACCAGCTTGAAATATTGCAAGAATATATTGAAAAGCTATCAAATATGGTAGATTTTTACTCTAAGGACATGCAAGAGTAGCTGGTGGCCTTGGATTGACTAGGTAAACGTGCGCGAGGAGATCCAAGTTTTGCTAAAGTTAATAAAGTGATCTTTGGAAGCTCAAGTGATGAGCCCTAAGAAGCAGTGCATCAAAACCCAAGAGAGGAGATCCAGATGGCCAAACTAATGTCTCCTATTGTGGAATCAGGAAGCGCGCCATGATGTTGTTGTTGTTTTTTAAAATAATAATAATAATGTAGTCCTTGTTTCCTCCTTTTTTTTAAAATGTGAAATAAATATATATTTTCTAATTTTTCTTTTGTTTTCTTTTAATTTTAACGACACAAATTAATGTGCTAATCATCCAATTATAATACTCACAAGTGTACGAATTTATTGGAAACTAGGAAGGAGTAAACAGGTTATTAACTAGGCAACTTGTTTAATAACCTGTTTAAGACGACTTGAACCCGACACGACACAACCCATTGTCTATATAGGTATCCCCGCTTATTTCTTGAGCTTGAGATTCCAAAGTCTCAGGCCATTCAAATTAGGACTTGTGCTCCCTCTAGAATTAGCCAAAAAGGACCAGAAGACCTTTGCAGCTTCAGCTTTGATCTCTTCATCTTTGACTGTCAAAGAATCATCATTCAGTCCAATAGAAGTAATTTTGTACCTACTCATCTTGTAAATGGATTTGAGGAAGTATGAAGAAACATTATCCATAGCCTTATTGCCATTGTAAACTAGATTTCTGTCTTATTAGATACTCTTTTTCTTCACCAGCATAGTATTATCTGTATGATGTTTTAGGAGCTCCTTCCTATGCATCCTAAAGGAGCAATCAAGAGGAAGGATTCTGCATACAACGCATGCTTAATCTCTGAGGCAGATAATGTGACTTCACTAACCAATGAGGAGAGATTCTTAATTCCATCTTAGTTAACTCCAGATTGAAGTACACTTGACACTGAAGAGAGCCTTGAACCTGGGAATTCCATATAGTAGAAATCACTGGGGAGATATCCTCCCCTGTAGCTGCAATAGATCGTCTGCCATACGAACTCTGTCCTGCTGATCTAACGTTCAGACAGTGTTTGTATGTCATCTGTGTTCGTATGGCAGAATTTCCCAAGTTTAAATGGACAACTCCTCGCCTTCAGAAGCAATCTATAGTCATTTGGGATTTACTGCTCTAATGAAGAGCAAATGCACTTTTGTGACTTTTGGGTGTCAAGAATGACATTGTCAAAAGAAAAAAAGAACAGGAAAAGGAAAATGGCAACCTTTCGGCATACATTGAATGAATGAATGTTTGTTCCAGGTTCAGACCTGGTAATTGAATTAATTGTATGGTATTCTCTTTACATATCTTTCTATTTTGTACAAAAAAGAATTTCCAACCCAATCTACAGAACAAAAAATTTCACCTAACCCAAAAATGGCCTCTTTAGGTATTTGAAATCCATGGATGAATTAACACAGTCCACTTTACTTGTGTGAAGATTGAACAATTTCAACAAGTCAGTAACCTTCTCCTTTATCCCATCACCACAACCAACCTGCAAGAGAACCAAGAGCTTCTGAAATGCACCCACTTGAAGTGCCTCAATCAAAATGCTTTCCTCAGTTTCAATTCTGCAGAGCTTCCAAATTATAGCGATCGAAAACTCAGTCACCAACTCCGAAATCCTCAAAATCTTCTTAACCAAAAGGGGAATTGTCAGAGGATTCTCAAGGGCCTTGTCTTTCCCTTGTTTGCAATCACAAAGACCCTCCAAAACTCCCAAAGCCCTCTCACACAGGCGTCTCTCTGCGTCAACAATAATCTCTAGTAGCAAAGAAACCAATCCCAACTCCACAAATCTTGATCTGATTTCATCACTGGCTGCTGATGGAGATGAAATCATGAACAAAACAGAAGTCAGAGCAGCCCTAGTAGCTGCAGGAGAAATAGGCTCTCTAATTATCCCAACCAATGCTTCAATTGCTCCTTCACTCTCAACAAAGTCATCCACATGTTTTTGATCCAAAGAAAGCAACTTTCTCAGTACCAAAACTGCGTTTTGCCTTGCTGATAGATCTTTGCCCTCCAAAAACGACAAGAAACATCTTAAAGATCCTGCAGATCCAAGCTTTAATTGGCCTTCTTCACTCACTGGAAACATCCATGGCAGCACCGACAAAATGTCCAACAATATCTCCACATGATCCTCCATTGAAATGCTGGCAAAAGAATCGAACACAGCTGACAAGCAGCAGCCAAGTCCATTCTCCACCATACACTTCTTGTTCCTCTCGCTCTCTTTGGCCCATGCTTTGATCTTCCCCACCAATTCTCCACACTTTCTACCGTCCCCGCGTCGTGCCGCGGCTTCAATTCTCTCACAAATCCTCGAAACCTCGTACTTTGTCACTGGGATTCGAGGCGTTGGGATCCGTTCGATCCCATAAGACTGGTTTTCGACGCACCAATCTTGGATCATTCGACGTAGTGCATGGTTTGGTATTTGGTCAAAACTCTTGAGTTCCTGGTTAGTTGCCGGGCATGTCCTGTTCCCGGTCTCTATCCACTTCTCAATGCTTGATCGGTCGTACGTCATCCCCGTCGACAGCGTCACCGGATCCTTCATCAAATCGAGAGATATCGGGCATCGAAAATGCGTGGGAACAGCGATCTCCTCCATCTCCATGTCCAAATTCTCGCCAGCAAAAAACTCCTTCTTCTTGTTGGCGTGGCGGGTAGACTTTCTTCTTCTCCAAGACAAAATCATCATTTTCGTTGCGTAATTTAATTTAAAAGTAGAAAGAAACAGAGGACAAGTGGATCAGAGCAAAAGCTGAGAGAGAATGTATGTTTTTTTTGGTTCTGTGAGAATTGTAGGAACCTCAATGAGCTTATATAGTCTCTTGGGTTTTTGATACGCGGGGTCAAAACCGAAGTAGGAAGTTTGAAATGTTGTAGCGGTTTTGAATGTTGACCGTTGAAAGTTTCAAAAGTTGAAAGACGCAGGCAGGGACGGGGGAGGCGTTTATTATTGGGAAGGGTTATTCTATACCCTTGAATTCAAGTCGGCAGATGATTGACCAGCTGTTTTAGGCTGTGTGCGTGCGTCCCGTGTTTGGGTCAAATGTCAACTAGTCGGTGCATGGACTGAGAACTCGGTCTTTCTTGTTTTTGGCATTAGCAGGCCCAATGTCCAAATTATCAAACAACCATACAACATCATAGCCCAAATACCTAAGTAGGGATTCTGTTTAGACCCAATGTTTTTGCACCATTTATTTCGGTTTTTGGGATTGAAATTTTTTGGATTCACGACTTAAAAATATACCATAGTTGATTGCAAAACTTTACAATGTGCGGTTTCTTGCACCGCATACTTGTGAGTTATGTCAGTGATGGAGCCAGAAAATTTTCACAAAGTGGGTATTGTAATCTATTTTTCTTTAGGGTGATAAACAAACTAATTTTTAACTTGATACAAAAATTGATATTTTTAATTGCTATGCTCCATTTATTTATATGTTACACTAAATATCTACTCATCATCGATACTAGCAAATTATCTACATACTAAGAAAATTTATATGGTAATTTATCACTACAAAATCTAGAGTACAAAATCTAGAGTCGAAGTATGACAATAGGAGATTTGAAACAGGTAGCAATGATAGTGAGAAAGGAAAAGAAGACAAATATAAAGAAAGAAAGAAAGAAAGAGGCACTTTGAAATTTGATTTTTTTTAAAAATTATGATGGTATTAAGAAGACAATTGCCTCGAAGAGAATTTCAGAGGTGCGCGTGCCCACCCTAGGCATTTGCTCCTTTCGTAACTGAGTTGTGTGGCTTACTGCATGTGCTGCAAACCTATAAATTTTCAGACCCATAAACCGAAACAAATGAGGAAGGGAAAGAACACACAAAGGTCTCACATTTTCCTCCTTGTAGTTATCAAAGGTGACGATTTGTTCACCCATTGAACCCTTTCCACATAAGAATTAGGTAGATTCATCATGCCAAGTAAGAATTAGGTAGTTAGAGAAATGTGACACATATTTTTACCAAGGGCCTTATTTATTTATAATTTCATTGTAATTTTTTATTTATAAAAGTATGAGTGTATTTTAATCTTCATAGACAATCTTATCTTCTTAAACTATGGGGAAAAAAAAGAAGAAAAAGGAAACTTTGGCTCCCATATGAACTTTTTTGGTTAACAGATTCCTATGCTGCGGACTACAAATTTGAAAGAAAGGCAGCCGATACTTAGTCAACAAAATGGGAGTGAAAAAAAAGAAAGATTTCTTTTTCTTTTGACTTTTATTTATGAAGTGCTTAGGAAATTGATAAATCATGAGAATATGCTTATTAGTTCAGGCATATACACTTTATATCGGATCTTAAATTATCTGAACATATGCCAAATCCCAAGTTTGTATTAGTAAAATTAAAGCACCGAAGCATGAGAATAAAGAAAAGAGTCACTAACCTAATGGAAGAATTAATGTACAATTAAGTAGTGAATTAGAGGATATAATTATCATCAGAAAAGTCGTATATATATGGTGTATATATTCACCAGAACTCTAGTGCTGGTTGATGCTTGGTGGTGGGGGACCATTTAAAGCAAGCGTTTTGAGTTTGGGACAAGATGGATTGAAAAATACTTTAGCTTCTTTTAGGAGTCATTCATACTTATTACAAATAAATCACAGATTGTTATCTGTGCAGAAAGTTTTATTAATTTGTGTGTTTTTGATGAGTTATTCATGTATACGCAACATGAATGATATTGTGGTTTGTAGATAACGAAGAACATGTCCTTATAGGTAAATAGGTAACGAAGAGCACCTTCTTATAAGTAAAGACATAAGGATCTCAAGGCATTTATATGAGAAGAAAATCTTGAATAAGATGGTCGGACCACATCATCAGTGTGACCGTCACAAGCAAGCAAGACCCTCTACATTGGGGTCCCACCTAGTCCCACACACTTGTCTGACTCCCAATTGCAGGGGGTCTCTTGTTTATGAAAGCAGTCGTACTGATGGCGTGATTCGACCGCTCTAAAGACCTTTTCCTTCAAGAGGCTCTCATACACCTTTCAGCAACTAAATCTGCTGAGATTAAAACATATTGTTATGGTCATCAAATTTCCAAAACAAAAGTTTATTCACCACACTATAATAGTGCTATAAACATATATTGAATCAATCTTAATGTTGGTTTAAAGTTGTGTTGAAGACTTGGAACTTGGAAGTGGGGAAATGGAAATGAAGGGGGGGAATTGGCTCTTTCCAATGTTCCTTTCCTTGGGAAAAGGTACTAGTAATATTCAATTCATTGTCTAATCTCTATTATTATGCAAACAACAAAGCTCCATTAACACTGCACAAACTCAAGGTCACGTGAGTATGCGATCTGATTCATCTTCTTTGAAGATAAAATATTTGAATATATATGGAAAGAAAAAACGAATCCTCTTTAAACATGTGTTTAGTGCCCGTAGGCTTGTAGTACCTAGTTATAGGCATGTCTCTACTGGCCAGGCTAGTTGAGCACAACAACATATATTAACTTAAACGAACCTCATTACTAGGAAATTAAACAGCTTTAATTTGCACTTCCCACAGCGCCCCTTGTTATTATCGACACAAGTTTTTTATATATTTATTTATTCTTCTTTTCTTATTGAAAATTATTGTTGTTTTCTCACAAGTCAAATGGTAGGCCTTACACGAATTAAAGCCTTGTAATTTACTTCAAATTTGCAAGCAACTCTGATTCGTTAATTGTGTCAAATAGATGGGAAAGAAATGGCGCGTTGCAAGGGGCTTGTAGCTTGAGTGAAGTTACACCAAAAGAGCACCTTTCTTATCTTACCACAATTTGCCAACGTTATTTTCTTCCTTTTTTGGGTTGAGAATTGTTTAAGGGATGTAGCTTTCTGGTTTGCCTGGAATTTGATTGAGATTTTGGTCAAACATATTGCTAAGTGCTGCATTCGAGTGCGATACAAGGCCAACAAAAGGAGGAGATGTTCATATTATGAATTAAAGAATAACAAAGGAGTTATCTAATGCAATATAGATTAATATGGAAAATGTTAAATTTAATAGAGACGGACTAGCGGCTATTGCTAGCAACATCAATATTGTTCCCAATTTAACCACTTATATTTCATTTTGTCAAGTTTCCGATGTGGGACTTTATATTCTTCAATAGATAATTCATTAAGAAAAAAAAATATAATAATTGAAATTTTAGAGGATTGATGGAGTTGTTGGAAATATTATAAATACGTTTTGGTATATATGGCTTTATATGATGATTATATGCATGCCCATCTCCTAATTGGCATATAATATGGAAGCTGTGAGTGTGTGTGAGCAAAGAAAGAGTATTAGTTTTATGGTAATTTATGGTGGACGTGCACAGTATCAATCTGATGAAAGAAATTGAAAGGCCGACCCCATGCATTGTGGACTTATCTCAAATCAAGAACTTCAAAAGTGGGAGTGAAAGATAGAGAATCTCTGGTGGGACTCATAGCTAAGCTATACCAACATCAATTCTTCCCATTGGCTCTTGCTTTGGCTTTGCTTCCCTCTCTCTCTCTCTCTCTCTCTCTCTCTCTCTCTTCTGTATGTAATTGTACTATCCTGAGTTGTAGTTAGTTGTGTGTGGAAGCAGTCCTAGTGTTTTGTGGCCCAAAAATCAACAAAGCAGTTGTAGAAATGGCTGAGACTTGAGAGTAGTAGTATTATGTCACATCCTTTCTTTTTCTTTCTTAAATTTATCCCAACACTGCCTTTTTCCTCATACTCTCTGACCTCCCACCACTGTCTCCCCAACCCCACCACTCTCCTCTAATCTTTGCTTTCCCATAATTAAACATCAACCCTACTTTTCCTTTTTCTATCTTCAATTCTTTTTAGTAAACTGTTTGTTTGTTCTGAGCCTCATGATCTCACCCACCATTTGTTTTGTCAAAAAGTTAGTAACCCACATACCTCTTCTGTCTTCAGATGCTCAATATGACAAGCAACATTGAGTTAGCAGATGTCTGCTAATTTCAAACATTGTGAAATGGACACCAAAGAGCTACCCAATTGTTCTTGATCTCCATGTTCCTGGTACTTTTGCTCTGCCCATCTTTCTTTTTTTGCATCTTCTTGTTTTATGTGTATCTCATTTTCTTTGGCTTTGTGGTTTTATCTGGTTTTGGTTTTTTACATCTTATTGGATTCAGGGTTTCATCTATATTGGCCACTTTTTGTGTTCTGATAAATTGTCCTACATCCCTTTATCCACCAAGTTTTCAGATAGTATCAGAATTTTGGTTAGTCTAAAGAACAATTTTGCAGAGAATTGCAGGAATTTCTACAGGTCTTTGATAAAGGTCTCTCTAATCTCACTGTCTTCTGCAATCTCTTTTCTCTAGCCAGATACTAATTCATTGCAGATGTAGTGCTCATAGATTAAACTTCAAAACCTATTTCCCTTTTGTAAAGTTGTTGAAAGTTGTCATGTAAAACAGTCACCTATAACAATATTTTGGCTAATTTGAGTCCATGCTTGGATGTTTTCTTAACGATTTGCGTACGCGTTGTAATTAATTTAGGTTTGATCATACAACCAAGTCCTTTTCTTAGAATTGCATCTTTCTCTTATCTCTTAACTGGAATTTGTTTATGTTTGACTGAAAGTTGCACATGTTTTTTAGGGTGATTAAATTATATATTTGAAATTCATAAATTATAAATTTCAAAAGGGAAATCATAACGTTACCATATGTTTTTATCTGTGAGAGCTTAAAATTTTGGTTGGCCTATGTCTTGTCTCTGTTGGATATATTACCTTCTTTCTAACTCTAGCCTGCTTTTAAGAATCTATTGAACCCTCTGACATTTGAAGATGCTGGCCTTTTCTATTGTATTTTCGGAATAAAAAACCAGATTGCTGGCCTCTTTGTTTGTAATTCTGTGTCTTTCTCTGATCCTCATCTGGGGGAATGTTTTCTTTAAGAGATGAGACTCATAATTTAAATGAGTTCTTAGAAAGCGAAAGTGTCCCCATCTGGTCTCACTTATATATGCTTGTATATTAGCAGCAAATGCTGTACAGATACAGAACAAAATATGGCACATTACCACACCACACCACTACTTTGCAGAGGAGAACATTTTCTCTCCAGATTTTATATGTTTCCTCTCTCTCTGCTCCGGAGATTAGTTGCTTACCTTTCGTACTAATGTTTCCTTAAAATTGTACACATACTTCTACTTTCAAAGTTTTAATTGCAATCATGAAATAAAATAAAATAGTAGTGGTGATGGATCAAGAAATTTATACTGCAATTGTCATGTTCTATCTTTCTTTCCATTCTAGTGAAAGAGAGTGAACATTACCTCTAAAATTTAACAATTCTTTGTTTCGGAAAGTGCAGGATAAGATCAACTAGTCTTTGCTGAACTGGCTCAATCCGGTTATTTCAAGCCTGATATGTAAACTATCCCCCGAACCTAGAAAGTGTCAGCTAAATCATGAACACATACTTTGACCTTGAAGTGGAAGCCTCCTCAGCAAATGACTCTGATGTTAGCAGCCAAGTTGCTTCTAACATCTCCATCCAAGAAACATCTGCTAATACCTCCAATGACAGTGCCGCCAACTCCACAAATCCCGTTGCAGCACAACAAGCGTTGGAGCCTGTTTCCCTTGACTTAACTCTTAGCTTCAGTAATGAGGACTTGGTGGGAAGGGATTCTGTAGGACTCTCATTGTCAAGCACAAGTGAGAGCAGCAATGAACCTGCATCTCAAAACACGACAGCAGCCACTCCAAGACTTTTCTCTTGCAATTACTGTCAATGCAAGTTCTTGAGCTCACAGGCTCTTGGTGGTCACCAGAATGCGCATAAGAAAGAAAGAACACTGGCAAAGCGCGCTATGCGAATGAGTATTTTCTCTGAGAGATACACGAGCATAGCGTCGTTGCCTCTGCATGGATCTTCATTCAGGTCTCTAGGAATAGAAGCACACTCATCAGTGCATCAAGGGTTTGCACCACCAGTGAGGCCTGCTGAGATTGGAAGCAGTGCAAGATTTGAACAGGGGTATTTGGGGGTACCCATTTTCTTGGTGGATGATGGGGCTGAGCTGTTATGGCCTGGTAGTTTCCGTCGGGCTGCTGAGACAAGTAACACTCATCCAAGTTTTGTACTGACTCATGAAAGTTCAAATTCAAATTTTGTAGAGGTCACACCGCCCGTGGACGTAGAGACCATGTCTACACCAGATCTCACACTGAAACTTTGAAAGGTTTGGTTTTGCAGGACACATAGCACAACTCTGGGATTTATGTTTATTGTTCTCTAAATTTGTACAGAGAGATACACATGAGCTACATGGCTGCAAGTTTTTATTCTTTCAATTTCTTCTTGTTTGCAGCGCTTTGGTGTTTTACCTTTTCAGTGTATAAGAGCTCTATGAGGATCATTTGTGAGCTCCTTTGCTTTTGTGATATAAATTTTCCTAGTTTGGTCCATTTTCTCTCTCCTTTCTTGCCCCCTTACACAACGGTGGAGCACCCTCCAATTTCTTTAGAATTACAATCACTTGTAGACAACTTCTTACTTGATTATTGGTTGCAAACTCATTGCAACCCACTCCATGGTGCGCATATAATAATGTCCAATGCTGGTTTGTCTTAGTCCCCAACTTCTGCAATGAAAAGGCCAGTGTTTAATATGAGAGTTCACTTGCCAAAAGAAAATGTGATAGCTCTGGTCTTTTGCAATGTCTGGTATTTATTTGTTCAAGTCTATGCCATGTTGAAGGGCCGGAAGTCAAATTGTTTGTAGGAAGGCCAAATTTTTGTTTACATGGTTGAAATATGCTTCGCATTGGGAAAGATATTTCGAATGTACAAGATCCAACCCCGCGGAAAATGTAAAAAAGTTGCAAGCTTGCTGTTGACCGCTAAATCTTTTTGGCCAACTACGTGGATTATTTCGAATAAAATAACCAACGGGGCAAGCGGATTTGGGAACACAGTCCTTGGTGTAAATGTTTGAACCGAGTGCCGGCTCTCACGGTCTTTGATGGCTGTGAAAACAGAGATGACGATGATGATAAGGGGGTTTTTTTATTTGTAGAAAATGATAAGTGCCTTGATCTTGATCTTTAATCAAACGATCTGGGCCGAGTTAGGAACGTTTCGGCCGTTGAGTTCTTAGCCTTGGTAACAAGGCTACTGTGCTGATGATGTCTTTTGTGTTTGGAAAGAAATGTCATGCTTTAGTCTAGTCTATTTGATGCCTAGAATTGAAACCGCCAACATTTTAATCTTCTTGCTCTAAAATATGTCGGGGAAATAATCACGAAACTGAAGAATATGATAGAAATATAAAGAAGTATGGCAGAGAGTGTTTGTAAAACAGAGAATTAGACAAAATGATTTTTATTAACTTCTTCAATACAACAGCAGCCTATGACATTGACTATTTATAATAACATTTACAAGTTTACATAATAAAACACAACTCTTGAATTAATTCCAATAGATACAGATACAACTTTTTATATCTAAAAAGTCGAGATACAATTCTTCATAAGAAACCTGTAGAAAAAAAATATACAACTAATAATTTTATTTTCTAAATTTAAAATATAGACAATGCATTACTTTTAGCAAAATAAATACATGAATTTCAGTGCCAATTTCCTCAACCAACAAGCAAGAGTTACTACTTTGAAGAAGGTTGGCTCAGAGGAGAATCTGACGACCAAGCCCATTCATCAACATGCTTATTATCCAGACTCTCTACTATGCTTTTCGCTCTTTTGGGATGAAACAAAGCTTGCAATATCCCCTGGAATCGGGAGACAAGGATAAACACTCTTTAAGAATTTGTACACTTTCATACGTTCATCTTTGGAAAGTAGAAGAACTGGCAGATAACCTGCGAAAAAGTAGAGGCAACCAAGCACACAAGCAGCGTTGGCAAGTGCTGAAGAATGCCCTAATACTGCATATGTGCCGGTGATGAATGCAATTACCATTAAAACCAAGGCGCTCCCCATAGAATATAAGCCCCACGCAATATCGGCAGGCATCTTTTTGTATTTTGTGAGGAATTGTAAAAGAACGTGAATAAACACAGAACCACTGGACATACACATAGCTAGTGTATTTGTTATAACAAATGCTATGAAAGCTGCATTTCTTGTTAGAACAGCAAAACCCTGGTCAGGTCCTTTTTCACTTTGGTAACCACCAGGCATGGTGAAACCTGCTGTGAAGGTTACAGTTGCTATCAATGTAGCCACTACTAGATAGGTTTGTCTTCCTTCCTTTGCTGCAGAGGTTTGTCTTTCTTCCTCTGCTGCATCATTGTCATTGGCACCTTTATTTTCCCCACTCATATCAATTGAATGATATCCAATGGCATCTTTCATTTCCAAAATGCCACCTTTGTCTTCCTTAACTTCCTCGATAGTGTCTCCGTATAGTTTGGAGTTTCTACCGATACTATCTTCATGGCTTACAATTGGATATGGGCCTCCTGGTCTGACTCCATTCCATTCCAAAATGCGGTTAACAGTGTTCTGCAACGCAAACAAGTGTTATGATGAGAGGTGAGTGGTAAGTATTACATTTGTCTTTAGATTACAAAAAAACCTTATCAAAAATACTTTAAAGGTCAATAACCGTACCTTTAGTGTTGGTAAGAGAGTCTCATCAGCTAGAATGTTGTCTAGATCGTCTAGGTTTTTCTTGTTGAATGTCATCTGATCAATTCTAGTATCACCGATGAAATTATCAGCCACAGAAAGCAGATGGAAGGGTGTGTTCCCGTCAACATCCTTTCCATTTAAAAGGACATGGCTAAGCCATGGATCTTTCAAAACAAGATCCTCTATTAGACCTCTAGGCCACTCAATGGCATAGTGAAGGGCATTACAACCTTTGTGATCAACCAATTCGCAGCAATCAGGGCAATGAGAAATGATCTCTCTCATTACTTGTTCGTGTCCTTGAAGGGCTGCAACATGAAGGGGTGTCTTCTTGTACACGTTGTCACCAATGTAAGCAGCTGACTTATCAGATTCTATTAGTTGTTTCACAATTGAAGTGTGACCGAAGAGTGCAGCAAAGTGAAGAGGCGTCCATCCTCGTCCGTCTACTACTTTCGTGAGAGCCATTTTAGTGTGCTTTAGTATCTTTCTCGTTATTTCTAAAGCAAAAAAGAATAAAAATGAGTAAGGGGCTAATTAATATATAACTAATAAGTAACTAATTATGTACATACGGTCATCATTGCAGACCACTGCAGCGTGCAAAGCTGTTCTACCATTGGGGCCTCCATAAGTTGGATATTTGCAAGTCTCCAGCATTTTGAAAACCAAATCACGGTATCCCCTCTCAGCAGCCAAGTAAAGTGGCGTGTCGCCACTATCATTAGCAGAGTAGGAAAATTCAGTATCTTCTTTGGTCAATATCTCCACCACATTTAGGTGATTAAAGCGTGCTGCCTCGTGCAAGGCTGTGTCCTTGCCCTCATTGGTTTTCCTGATCAGACACCGCCAGGCTTCTTTGACCCCTTGGCCAAGGTCTCCATGACGAGCTTTTGCAGCCTTGACAAGAACTGCAACTATATCAGAGCAACCGTGTCTCGCAGCAATATGCAAAGCAGTCTCACCACTTCCATTGGATTGCCATAGTAGTTTTGGGCACATTTCCAGTATCTTCTCCACAATGTTGCTTGGCTTGTGTGCTACTTTTTCAGGCTCAATCAACGATGGGCTGCCAGCGCATGCGATATAAATATGGAGGACTGTGTTCTTGGTTGAAGTAAGTATTTGGTGAAGATGTTCTTGTTGTCGTTGAAGGACATCAATATTGCCTTCTTTTGCAGCCTTATATACATCAAGATCCATGCCACTTCTTAAACATGCTTCCTGGTTGGTCTCATCTGCTTGCCCTGCCTGTGCTAACTGAATAGTGCTCTTAGTTTGATTAGTCGAATTCGAGGCATCCATCATTTTGACTTTTTTCTACTGCGCTGCTCTTGCAGTCTTTGAATGGATGAAGGGAAATCGCTCATGAGAGTGAAGGGCAGGGCGAAGAGGGTAAAATTATATAGAGCAGCACCATTAGCATCTTCCAAATAGATGGTGGTTGACCAATTTGGTGGAGGTTATCTTTAGTCTTATCTTATTCAATTCTAGTTTTGTTCGGAGTTTTTATCAACCATAAGCAATTTATATGTAAGAAAAATGTATTTTTATTTTTTATAAATAACAAAGTGAATCAAAGCAACCTTAGCTTTAGATGTGTATGTATCCATTAATTTCACCTTAAAACTCCTCATCTTCCTTTCAAACCTCACCTTCATTTCGAACCCAATCCTCCTTTCAAATAGATAGACTGGTTAATGAACTTAACTGTGTTTTTAACATGTTGAAATTGGGAAAAGTTAAATTTACAGGGGAGACTCTGCCGAAATTTTGGCAGAAAGTCTCAGTCTTTATCTTGTGGGCCCGACATCGGGGTGATGTCGGAATTTCCACAGGATTCGTTCCGGGTTCCAAGGAAATTCAGTGCGGGTCCTGTCATCTAATCTTTTCACTGCAATGAGTTTTTTTTTTCCCTATGTTCGAAAACAGCATCCCGACAATTGCAATCTTCCAAACAAGATCTTTATATCCACAAAAATCAGCCAAAAACCTGCTTGATCAACCCTAAGCAATTTATATGTACGAAAAATGTATTTTAATTTTTTTTATTTATAAATAACAAAGTGAATCAAAGCAACCTTAGCTTTAGATGTGTATGTATCCATTAATTTCACCTAAAAACTCCTCATCTTCCTTTCAAACCTCATCTTTCTTTCAAACCTTATCTTCTTTCTTTCAAACCTCATCCTCTTCCCTGTTTAAAAGGGAATTATTCTACCCAACCAAACACACAATCTCCTTCAATCTCATTCTTCTTCTTACAATGAATTCACATGGGAAGACTATACAAAATTTCTTTGATGGTGATTTTGATGATGACCTTCATCAAAATCTGCAATTACAGCCACACAAACATGGTAAAGTTGAAAGGTTTTGTCATATGGGCATGGGCTCCATATGCACATGGGTTGACATAATTGTTGGGCATGTGCTCCACATGTTGCTGCTAGGCTCCACAAAATTTCGAAACAGTCAATAAAACGGGTGGAATAATGCTTGGGCTTTTTCCTGGACTACTTTTTTAGCCTGTTCGTATACAAGGTTGGAGAAGCTTTTCAGGCAAAAAACCCAAATTTTGGGTTTAGCTCACTCCTATTGGAGATGGCCTTATGGTAGCAATTTGGTAAATGTTCTATTCGGTCTTATTTGATTCAATTCTAGTTTTGCAGCATGTGGAGGTGTACTTTATTTATAGTTCATAGATCTTCAAAAGACGCAATCAGACAAGTACCAAAGTCATTTAACAAACATAATTTATTGCAGCGAGTGGGTGTAGCTCAGTTGGTTGAGTTCTTCTACCTCCATTCATGTGGGTAGATATTTGAAACTCCCTCACCCAATGAATATTTGTGTAAAATTCCCTCCCTTGGTGCTAAGATCCTACAATCCACCGCCCAAATCTTGAGTGAGTTGTCAACCTACTGTGGAAAATCCCCTCCATCACGAGTTTCGAGTTGCCCTCTATTTATGCCTTCTTTTCAAGTTCCAATGTTTCTATTCTATGACTAGCTTAAGTTCCAAGATGGTGCACATGAAATCCTTGTCTTAGTCAATGCTCTTGATTTTTACTTGAGCAACACCCCTTGGGCTGAGGAACGAATGCGACTTTTGATTTTGGTCAAGTTTTTCTCCATGCTTAGTGGTTTGTGCCACATTCCGAGATCGGTTCCACCGTAGCACGATATTGTCCGTTTTGGGCCCCCTTTTCTGCCATAACAGTTTTGTTTCTGGGAACTCACAATCAACTTCCCAGTGGGTCACCCATCCTGGGATTGTTCTAGTCCTAACTCGCTTAACTTCAGAGTTTCCCTGACTCCGAAGCCAGTAGCTCCCAAAAGGCCTCGTGCTAGATGGAGGTGAGCATGTACATATAAGGCACATCACTTTCTCTCCGTTGGTCGATGTGAGATGTTACAGTTTGGGTTGGGCATAAGAATTTGGTCGTCCCCTTGTGCTTTTGTTGAGATTTCAAACCATGATCTTTGGGCTTTGTACTCCTTAATCAATTACTTCGCATTTTGGGCCATATTGTTAGGCCTGTTCTGATATTTGGGCCGTGTTGTGCCATGATCGTGGGCTTGTTAGGTTTGACCCCTCGTTTTTACTTTGGGCCTAGATATTTTCATCTCTAGGCCTAAAGTTTGGCCCCAACGGCCCTCACCACATCACCTTTCCTTCGTGGAGCCAAAGGGGAAAAAATTAGATATAAACACTTGCATGTGTTGACCAAAAAAAAAAAAAAAAAAACCTTTGTTTTTGAATTTGCATAAAAATGGGATTAGATTTGTTCTCCATTGTAGACACTA